AAGTACTTCTGCTTGTTCTTTTGAAACAGGAGGTTTGACCTTGGGCATGGCTGTGGTCTAGGGTGGGATCTCTGCCTAAACAACAGAACGCTAATGACTTGATGTCTCAAAGTGTTGGAGCAGGTTAACTGTTCTAGTTGCTCTTCCTTTCAAGTTAAAGCGGTCTTTTGTCTTTTCCCCTGTGGTATTGGGGTTTAAAAGTGTAAGAAAAGGAAAGGCAGGGGATTTCAGTATTCATTGGAACTCCCTCCTGGTACTATTCTGTTTTTCTGTTTTATTATTTTCACATGTGTCTTTGTATTCTTTACTAATATTTCTAAATCCCCACACCCCTACCCTGACAAGAGCTGCCTTTGTTGAGACTGGTCCCTGACAGCTGGCCTGGGTTAGAGTTAAAGCTTGTCTCAAAGAGTAAAACAAAACAAACAGGTCTAGGGAGATTGCTCAGGTGATAAAGTGCTTGCTACACAAGCATAAGGCCCTGAGATCAAATCCCCAGTACCTACTCACATAAAAGCTGGGGCTGGTAGCATGTATTTGTGGGGCAGTGTTGTGTGTGAGACGCTATTCCTGGGGAAATAAGTGAAAATGTCTAGTCATCCCGGACAGAGAGCCAATGACAGAAAAGTGAACAAATGAGTGTACTGGGGTCACTTAACAGGAGCAGGGATGACTTAAAAGCACCCTGGCATGGATGCTGGACCCTGGAGCATACTGCACAGCCTGCATGCAGTTCAACAGGTCGGGAATCTCCTCTTTTTAGCACTGCTTACTGATTGTATAACCTTGGGAACTGAGGCATCTGTGCAGCTGGTCAGTTTCAGGGACTTCCTGAGATTTGTGAATTGCCTTCTTCCTGAGTCTTAACAAGCCTGGAACTTTCCTCTCCAGGATGGAGTGCTTTAACTGGGAGGAAACTGCTACACAAGAGGCAGAGCCCAGGGACATGGCAGGTGCTTGCTGGGCAGAGAGCCTGAAGCATGTCTGTCTTAGTTTTTATTATTGTAAAGAGACAACATGGCCATGGCAACTCTTACAAAGAAAACATTTAATTGGCATCTTACGGTTTCAGAAGTTCAGTCCACTATCATTATGATGGGGAGCATGGTGGCATGCAGGTAGATATGATGCTGACTACATCTTGACCAGAGGCAATAGGAAGTTGGCTGCCTGTCAGACTGAGTGAAACTGGAGAAAAGAGACCTTAAAGCCTGTCCCTACAGTGACACATTTCCTCCAGCAAGGCCACACCTAACAATGTCTCTCCCTTTGGGCGTCATTTTCTTTCAAACCGCCGCAATGACTAAGGAAGATGCTCAACTTCAACTTTGGACTGGACTATGTGTGCACATGCATAAATACATCACACACACACACACACACACACCCCAAAAGACAAAAGCCATGCATGGAAGAACATATCTGAAACCTTAGCACTTGGGAGGTAGAGATAGGGGGACCAGGAGTTCAGGCAGCTTCCACTACATGATAGGCCAACATTGGTTACATGACAAATTAAAAAAGGAAAAAAAAAAGTCCAAGATAAAAAAGTGAACACCAGCCAGGTGGTGGTAGCTCATGCCTTTAATCCCAGCACTTAGGAGGCAGAGGCAGATGGATCTCTGTGAGTGAGTTGGAGGCCAGCCTGGTCTACAAAGTGAGTTCCAGGACAGTCAGGGTTGATGCTCAGAGAAACCCTGTGAACATCAAGGGTATAAGTTTATAGAGTGTCCAAAGTGGTGGTCAATTATATATATATATTTTTAAAATACATTATTATTAAGATGGGGCATAGCTCAGTGGTGGTCAGAGAGAACTTCTGGAGTCTATTCCAGGGACCCAGTCCAGGCGGTCAGACTCGATCCCAAGCAGCTTTACCCACTGCCTGTGGGGCATCAGTTACCTGCCATTTGCCCACTCTTGCCTTCTCCGGAAGTTCCACACCCTCTGTGGAAACTGACAGTGACAGCTGCTGGCTGTGGCCACTGGGAGCCAAGGTGATCTAAGCTTGGAAAACCATGCCAGACTTTTGAATTAGGAGTGAATACTGCAGAGGGAGCCAGCATTGGCTAGGTTTCCCAGCCATGACAGCTGGAGAAGATCCGATTTTCTGAAGATGGAGGAAACAATTTCTCAGCCTACAAAACCATCTATAATCAGATCTTGACATTCTCTGCACAAGGAAGTGGGAATTGGTTCCATAGTTCAGCAGCAGAGTGCTTGCCTAGAATCCCCCAGTGAGGGGCTGGGGTGTGGCTCAGTGGTAGAGTCCCCCAGTGAGGGCTGGGGCAGGTGGTTCAATGACAGGATACTTACTTAGCAAGCCAGAGACCTTGGGTTCCATCCTAGTACACAAGACAAACAAGGAAGGAAGAAAGAATGGAAAGAAAGTATGAAAATAGGGTCTTTGTTTCTTCCCCTCAGATCTGTGTAGTTTGGGGGCTGGTACACAACCAACAGAAGGTTCTAGAAGCAGTACCACCAGCCATCATGAGGGAAAACAAATTACACAACTTCTGCCAGGATCATGGGGATGGTCATTTTCCCATATCTGAGAGCTTGAGCTTTATTTTTTTAAGATTTATTTATTTATTTATTGTGTATACAACATTCTGCCTGCATATATGCCTGCTGGCCAGAAGAGGGCACCAGATCTTATTACAGATGGCTGTGAGCCACCATGTGGTTGCTGGGAATTGAACTCAGGAGCTCCAGAAAAGCAGCATCGCTCTCCAGCCACTTGATAGTCTTTTCTTGCAATTTAGCCTAGACTGGTCTTGAATTTGGGATTATCTTGTCTCCGACTCCTGAGTGTTGGGATGTCAGCTGTGAACCACCATGTCTGTCTCTCCAGCAACTTTTTTGGGGGCTGGGGTGGGGCTGGGATGGAGTCCAGGACCTCATGCATGAGGGAATATTTTACAATTTAGCTATGTCCTACCCCTCCCTGGGTGTCTTAGCTATGGTTACTATTGCTGTGAGGAAACACCATAACCAAAAATCAGCATGGGGAGGAAAGGGTTTACTTGACTTTCGCTTGCAGTGATCACTGAAGGAAGTGAGGACAAAAACTCAAGCCAGGCTGGGACCTGGAGGCAGGAGCTGATGCAGAGGCCATGGCGGGTGCTGCTTACTGGCTTGTTCTGCTTTATTACAGAACCCAGGACCACCAGCTCAGGGATGGCACCATCATGGGCTGGGCCCTCCCCCATCAATCACTAATTAAGAAAATGCCTAGCAGGGTGGTGGTGCAATATCTTTAATTCCAGCACTCAGGAGGCAGGGGCAGGCAGATCTCTGAGTCTGAGGTCAGCCTGATCTACAGAGCTAGTTCCAGGGCTACCCAGAGAAACTATCAAGCCGGGCGATGGTGGCGCACTCCTTTAATCCCAGCACTCGGGAGGCAGAGGCAGGCGGATCTCTGTGAGTTCGAGACTAGCCTGGTCTACAGAGCTAGTTCCAGGACAGGCTCCAAAGCCACAGAGAAACCCTGTCTTGAAAAAAAAAAAAAAAAAAAAAAAAAAAAAAAAAAAAAAAAAAAAAAAAAAAAAAAAAAAAAAAAAAAAAAAAAAAAAAAAAAAAAAAAAAAAAAGAAACTATCAAGGAATCAGAAAAAAAAAATGAGGAAAAAGAAAATGAAGAAAATGCAGTACAGACTTGATCTTGCGGAGGTTTTTCTCAGTTGAGGGTCCCTCCTCACAACTCTAGCCTATGGTACACTGACATAAAACTAGCCTGCACACTGGGAAACTCTAAGCAGGAGCTCTACCACTGAGCCACACCCCAGCCCCTCACTGGGGGATTCTAGGCAAGTGCTGTTCTGCTAAGTGACAGTTCCTGGTCCAGGGACCCCTTTGTTTCATCTTCTGATGGAGCATTGAGCCAGAGGCACTCAAGTGAGACTCCATCCTCCACTCTCCACCTGCAGCAACGCCGAGCAGTTAAATCATCATCGCCACCATCATCCACCACTCTAAGGAGTGACTTGTGATGAGTGCCTGCTGAACAGAAGGGCAGCCACGCCTTTTTGACTGCAGGCAGCGGGTGACCGCACCATGATCTGGTCACTGGGGAACCTGTGGTGTCCTCATCAAACCGGTTCTATAGAGAGGTTTCAGTTGGTGACCGTTGTTGGCTAGCGGCCACTAGTCTCACGGCTTTCCAATCCCAGCTCTCCAAGTTGCTCCTGGGAGTTTGTGACTGACCCAAAAAGCTCCTCTCAATAAATCCCCTGTGTTCCCGAGGTGGCTTCTGTTGCCTATTATTATTAGTAACTTATCTGTGAGTCAAACTTTCCGGCACCCTTCCCACGGGACACCGATTCTCTACAGTCTCAGTTTCGACGCCCCTCTTCCGGGAAGCCTCCCCCCATTACCTGGGTCAAGCAGGGCACCTCCCTCTGGCTTCCTATAGTCCCTTGTTGTCCCCTTCCAAAGCAACTTTTTTTTCCCCCACCTTAGGCTGGTCCAGGCCTGCCTCCTCCAGCGTATTATGGGCACATGGCACAAGTGCCCCAGTGAAGAATGGGTAAGAGAGGAGGGACTCTGTGGGAGGATGGACACACGGCAGGGTCTCACCTAAAGCAAATGGACGCTGAGTCCCTCTAAGCAACGCTGGAGAAGAGTCTGCGGTCTGGTTGAGACCATGGTCACACTAGTTTGGGAGAAGGGGAGGAGGGGAGCTGTCTGTGGATTGGCAGGGGGATTGCTGCACGCTGGAGTCCAGCCTGGGCTATATAGGGATAGAGCAGATGCAGCAATCCAGGTCCCTAACTGAAAAACAAACAAGTGATCTTGGATTTGGGTTTCTGGTCCCACGAGGGTGGGGGCCAGGACTGGATGTGTAGTTAGGGGACTCCATGTCTGAAGGAGGAGCCTACGGCTCTGATGGGTGGGAAGGTCTGAGGGTGAAGGGGCCCTGGTTCCTGAGTTAATGGCGGAAGTGTCAGGGGTCAGACTGTCCCCCATGGTGTTGCTGGTGTCCCTCACACGCGGAAGGACTGAAGGGCCAGGATTCAATTTATTTCAGCGTCATCACCCCTTCCAGCTCCAGGGCGCCCTTCCTCCAGTCCAGGTGCCCTGTCAGGCAGGAGAAAAGGGCATTAGAGCTTTGTTTACTTATTTATTATTTATATTTCTTGTTTTTTTCTGAAATAGGGTAACTGCCCTCGCTGTCCTGGAACTTGTTCTTGTTCCTGCCTCTGCTTCTCAAGTGCTGGGATTAAAGGCACCAGCCACCTCTGCCTGACTTATCTGTATTTTTTAAAAAGAAGTTTATTAGGCTGGACAGTGGTGACACATGCCTTTAATCCCAGCACTTGGGAGGCAGAGGCAGGCGGATCTCTGTGAGTTCGAGGCCAGCCTGGTCTACAAGAGCGAGTTCCAGGACAGCTAAGACTATTACACAGGGAAACCCTGTCTGGAAGAACTATGTTGCTGAAACCCCGCCCCCTTCATTATTTTGAGGCAGGATGGTGAATAGTCTGCTGACAGTGGCATCAGAGCCAGTCCCATCTGGGACAAAGGAGGGCAGCAGGACTCACCTGGCCTCTAGATCTGGGACACATCTGGGGGCCACACAGGGCCAGCTGGAGGGGAGAATTCCCGCTCAGGAGCTTCTGCTGCGAGAATCACTGGTCAGCACTGTTTCAGTCTTTTTCCTCTGCCCACCCTTCCAAGACCTTGAGTTCTCACAGTACTGGGCAGGGCCTCTCTACTTACCCTGTGGCCCCCTCCCTGGCCTGGGGCCTGGTGGGGACTTCCCACATAACCGAGGCCATTTTTGGTAAATGAAGGGGAGCTCGGAGTCTGGGCAGGGTGAGGGGTGCCTGGTAGGAAGGAATTAGGAAATGTCAGGCCAGTGAGACAGCTCACTGTGTAAAGACGCTTACTGTCAAACCTCCCGACCTGAGTGAGTTCCATCCCCAGGTCCCATGTGATAGGAGAAAACTGAGTTGTGTAAATTGTCTTCTGACCTCTATAAGTGTGCCGAGGCAGAAGCACACACACACAATTGAGAAAAATAAAATAGGGGCTGGAGAGATGGCTCAGAGGATAAGAACATTGTCTGCTCTTCCAAAGGTCCTGAGTTCAATTCCCAGCAACCACATGGTGGCTCACAACCATCTGTACTGAGGTCTGGTGCCCTCTTCTGGCCTGCAGGCATACAGACAGAATATTGTATACATAATAAATAAGTAAATATTTTAAAAAAAGAAAAAGAAAAGAAAATTTGGGTGCTGGAGAGAGCACTGGCTGCTCTTTCAGAGGACCTGGGTTCAGTTCCCAGGACCCACATACAGCTCACAACTGTCTGTTAGTCCGGTTCCAGTGGATTTAACACTCTCACATACACATACACACAGGCAAAACACCAATGCACATAAAATAAAATAAAATCTAAAGTAGTCCAACCCACCATAAATAAAACAACAACACCCTTTCTTTCTGCGTGGAAGAAAAGTTCACTGCTGACAGGACAGCTCAGCAGTAAGAAGTGCTGGTCAAGCCTGATGACCTGTGGTCAATCCTCGGAACCCACGACAGAAAGAGAGAATCAGCTCCTGAAAGTTACCCCCTGACCTCAGCACCTGAGAGCTTTACACACACACACACACACACACACACACACACACACACACACACACACACACGTCAAACACACACACACGCTAATAGTAAATTTTAAAAGAAAACAGAAATCTCCCAACTGGGGCTGGCTGTGGTGGCAGAAGCAAGAGGATCTCTGAGTTGTAGGCCAGCTTGGCTTCAGGACAGCAGGACCAGAGAAACCCTGTCTTAACAAAACAAAACCTGTAAAACAAAACCAGCTGGATGATGGTGGCGCATGCCTTTAAATCCTGCACTTGGGAAGCAAAGACAGGCGGATCTCTGTGAGTTCGAGGCCAGCCTGGTCTACAGAGTAAGTTCCAGGACAGGCTCCAAAGCCACAGAGAAACCGTTTCTCAAAAAAAAAAAAAAAAAAAAAAAAAAAAGAACCCCTCCCGCACAAATCAAAGCAACAACAGCAACAACAAAAAAACCCACCAACCAAAAACTCCCCCCAAAACCCAAAAAGGCCCCAACCCCAAAAAAGGAACTAGGAAGCCATCCTTGGCTACATAGCAAACATAAGTGAGGCCCTGTCTAAAATACCCATCCACTCATGCCACAAACATCTCTGGAGCATCGTTTTAGGCTTTTGAGACACAGCATTAGGGAGAAAAACATCTCTGTTCTGTAGAACTGACATACATGGAGAAACAAGGAGAAGGGCTCTTGCAGTGGTGGGGCGAGGCAGAGGGAGGAGGGACGAAAGGCAGTTCCCAAGCAAGGAAACAGCTCAGATGTTCGGAGGCCTTTCAAGTCAAGGAGAGAGTGATGTTGGCCAGAGAGAGGGGGGCAGCTGCAAAGGCCTCTGGGAGACTGGAATGACAGGCCAGAAGCCAAGGGGAAAGGCTCCAAGGTAGGAGGTGCTGTGGTGAACGAGGCTTGCTGGCCTTGGAAGGATAAGGCTTCGTAGCTTAGACCCACAATAACAGGACTGAGAAAGCCAAGGCAAGAGGATCTGAGTTCAGACACAGCCCCACTTTACAAGAGGATCTGAGTTCAGACACAGCCCCGATTTTACGTAGTAAGATTCTGCCTGGAAAGCACACGCAGAAGGACTGTATACCAATCCTCATTATGTTAACTACAGCCATGAAAACGAGAAGACCCATCCAGTGCCCATGGTGGTCTTTGGTGGTAGGCCCAGGTATGTCACACGCGGTACAGAAGGTATGTCACACACCATACAGACCATAGAACATCATTTGGTTCCTAGGCTCCGTAAACTGAAGCCAGGGATAATGGGTTTCGTGGTGTCTCCTCTGGATCCGTGGCTGTCATAGAAATAGAGTATGTGAAGAAGCTGTGAGCCCCCTTTAAGAAGAGAGGAAGGGGCTATGGGTGTGGCTCAGTGGTAGAGCCCCTGCCTAGAATCCCCCAGTGAGGGGCTGGGGTGTGGCTCAGTGGTAGAGCCCCTGCCTAGAATCCCCCAGTGAGGGGCTGGGGTGTGGCTCAGTGGTAGAGCCCCTGCCTAGAATCCCCCAGTGAGGGGCTGGGGTGTGGCTCAGTGGTAGAGCCCCTGCCTAGAATCCCCCAGTGAGGGGCTGGTGCGTGGCTCAGTGGTAGAGCACCTGTTTAGAATCCCCTAGTGAGGGGCTGGGGCGTGGCTCAGTGGAGTACTTGTCTAAAATATACAAGACTCTGGGTTCAGTTCTTAGAACCTAAAAATAAAGATGGGAGGGGTGCTGGAGAAATGGATCAGTGATTTAGAGCCAGATTCAGCTTCTGATACCCACAAGGTGACTCACAACCATATGCAACTCCAGTTCCAGGGGTTCTGGTGCCCTCTCCTGACTTTTGCAGACACTGTACACACCTGTATGCACATGCTACACAACATACATTCAGGCCTACACAGATAGATGAGACATGCCAGGGGCGGCGGTGCACGCCTTTAATCCAGCACGCAGGAAGGAGAGGCCGGTGGATCTCTGTGAGTCCTAGACCAGCCTGGTCTACAGAGTGAGACCCTATCTCAAAATAAAACAATGGGGCTGGAAAGATGGCTTAGTGGTTGAGTAGCCAGTGAGGACCGGGGTTCAGTTCCCAGCACCCACACAGAGGCTTAAGGACTGTCTGTAACCTCAATTCTAGGAGATCTCATACCCTCTTCTGGGCACCAGGCATGTGTGCACGCGTGCGTGTGTATGTGTGCACGTGCACACCACACACAGACACACACACATTCAAAGCAATCATACATTAAAATAAATATATATTAAAAAACCAAAAAAATCCAGGATCTCTCAGTGTAGTCCTGGCTGTCCTGGAATTGCTCTTTAGAGCAGACTAGCCTGGAACTCCCAGGAGATCCGCCTGCCTCTGCCTCCCAGGTGCTGGGATTAAAGACCTGTGCCACCTAGTCTGGCCTGGAAAAAAAATCTTAAAAATAAATAATAATAGGGAGGAAAATGGAAGGAGGTGGAAATTTTTAAGTAAAAAAAAATTCTATCAACTAAAAATAAATAAATAAATAAATAATCATGAGGGAAGAAGGTGAAGGACGTAACAAAAGCCACATACTTTTGAACTGCTCTCAAAAGAATAGTCACATTTCCTGAAGCGGGCAGGCTCAGGGCTTTCTCTTCCCTGGTGTGTAGGGAAAGCCAAGGAGTAGGAGTTTACAGGAACGTGAACAGGAGCAGCGGCGATTCATGCCAGGCGGAGGGCGCGGCCCAGGCCAAGGTGCACCCATCTGGCTGGAGGTGATCGGCAGGCTGCTGTCCTGGCTGCTGCCCCTCCCTGTCCTCAGGGAGCCAGCTGAGTACCTCCTAATGTTTCCATTTGCCTTTGGCCGTGGGTCCAGATCTGTTTTTAGCTTCTCTCCCTGGGCTCTCGCCCCCCCTTCCTGCTGACTCTCGTTTGCTGTGATAGAATAACGTTCCCGGATTTCCTGAGTTGTTTGTTTGAAGTCAGCTGGGTATTGATCGGGCCAGCGTGCACTGGGCTAGGCTGCGGGGACAGCTGCCCTCCCCGTTGGGGAGGGTCTCAGAAGGTCCAGGGGTGTGGAGTGGGAGGGGCAAGAAAGAGAAACAGAGCTCGTTTGAAGAGTGAGCACGTGGGAGCTGGATTGAGGAGTGTGTTCTTCGTTCCAGTACTCAGGAGGCTGAGGCAGGGAGATGGAGAGTTTCAGCCAGCACGGATGTCAAACTGGAGCCCGATTCCCAAAGGACAGGAAAGAGGAGGGGGAAGAAGGAGGGGGGGTGAGGAGGAAGTAGAGTTGGAAGAGGAGAGCTGGAGGGATGGCTCAGCGGTTAAGTCCTGGCTGCTCTTGCAGAGGACCCAGGTTCAGTACCCGGCTCTCATATGACAGCTCATAACCCACTGGAACTGGGAATCTGGCTTCCATGGGTACCACGTGTTCACCGTGGACTGAAAGACATGCAGCCAAAGCACTCATCCACATCAAACAGAGGAAGCGGGGAGGGCATCCTGAGGAGTCCATCGCTGTGACCCCAGACTGTGGCCACATGGAGGGAAATGAGACTCTAACCACATCCATCTCAGATGTCACTCACCACTGTCAGCCAGCCGTTGTCTTGGGGTGTCCTAGGGGACGGATCTTCAGGGGGCAATGGGGGAGCAGCGGGAGTCACCTGAAGGAAACAGAGGAGGTCGGCTGTGGGCTAATTCCTCATCGTGTCCAGCAGGGGGCGCTGTGCAGACTCCCTGCCGCGGGTACAGGGTCTCACCCTCATATCACACTGCCAGGGAAAGCCAGGCCAGACTCAGCCAGGCAGACACTCCCGTTCTAGACCCTCTCCCTCAAACCCAGAGGCCAGGTCCCAGCCTCCTCCCTTAGACCAAGATTCTAGTCTTCAGCCCCCTCCATCAGACCCAAGACTTCCTCCATCAGACCCTGGGAACAGTGGTTCTAGGCCCTGCCTGGCCCTGCTCACCTGGTCCAGATTCCACACAGCCTCATGGTGACAGTTGTCTCTGGCTTCCTCTGTGGTGGCTCTGAACTCCACGGACCTCTCTTGTGCCTGACAGATACTCACAGCCTCGTGGCCTTTGATCTGACACCGGCAGAAGGGACAGGTCTGGCTATCCGACTGCTGGGGACAAGGAAGAAAAATGTCAATTACCCTCTTGTCTCCCTTCTGACTTCAAATGCACTAAGCGATGTAGGGAGGGAAGGCTGGAGAGAGCTGAGCTCTGGACCGGGTGAGCGTTGGGGAGAGGGTTGGGATGGGGCTGGCCTGGTCTGAATCCAGGAAGGACTTGCAGGCCAGGGCCTAGGCCAGCAGAGCTCAGGTCTTTGCTGAGGGATTTGAAGGGCTGGCCCCTCCTCGTACCACTGATGATGGAATATTTAGTTCTAGCCTTTAGAGGCTTAGGTCAAGGTCCGGTAAGGGAAAGCTATTGACGCCACACAGGCCTGCTGGAAGGGAGAAGGGAGCCCTTTCTAAAACCCATTATGTAGCTGCTCAGGGAGGAATGGAGGCTGTGACTCAGGGTGAGGTGGGTCCAGAGACATTAACTCAGACAGCCAGGGCCCTGAGTGGCCTGACCGGACCTCTGTTCTCTCATGAGGCCCCTGGGAGATCTAGACGGGGCTTTTAGGGGAGGGAGGGGCAGAAAGATGACAAATGGCAGCCCCACCTGCCAGGTAGCCAGGCAGTGGCTGCAGAGAAGGTGCCCACAAGGCTCGATCCTCACGTCCTTGTCCCTCTCAGCACAGATCTTGCACAGCTCAAATGTGGAGTTCATGGCTTCATAGAGCTGCAGTTGCTCCTGGGAGGTAAATTGGTGGGGTGAGGGGAGGCTTGGGAGGACGGTCCCCGGCTTCTGTGCCAGCCTGGATCCTGTCCCAAGTCTGGGTGGAGCACGGCTGGTACAGTGTCTGCCCGTTCCACCCCTAGCTCTAGCACTGGGGGTGGAGCACACGCAGGGGAGTCAGAAGTTCAAGGTCAGCTTCTGTCATGACCCAAATTAAACCAAACCAAACGACAACAAAATAAAATCCCTCACATAAAACCACAGCCAGGTTGAAGGCCAGTGCACCTAAGGCCTTCACAGGCACCATCATCATCGTTTTCTTTCCTGGCCAAGAGATCTCACGAAGTGACCCAGAGGCAGACCCGAGCCTACCCGGCAGTGGAATTATAGCCACAAGTCACCACCAGGCCAATCATGTATTCAACCCCGAACAAGATTTCCGGATTTGTCTTTACTCAGGAATGCTAACTTTTTTAGCCATTTGTTTTTTTTTTTAGACTCTTTTGTTTATGTTCTTTGTGTATGTGTGAAAGACTGCATGTATTTTTTGTGCATCGCTTGTGTGTCTGGTGTCGGTGGACACTGAATCTCCTGGACTGGAGTTACAGGTGAAGCTGCCAGGTGGGTGCTGGGGACCGAACCGGGGTCCCCTGCAAGAACGGCGAATGCTCTTAGTCACCGAGCCACCTCTCCAGCCCCAGAACTACTCGATTTAGCAAATACGACATGTTTCATTCCACTTGAATTTCAGATAAACAGCAATGAGAGTATTAAGAAGGGGCTGGAGAGGTGGCTCCACTGTGAAGACTCTCTGCTGCTCTTGCAGAGGACCCACGGTTGGTTCCCCAGCATTCATCCAGGGAAGCACACAATCTCCTGGAGCTCCAGGGGCATTCGGCACCCCTGGCTTTCGAGGGCACTTGGGCTCACAAGCATAAGTCCACATGCAGATAGACACATATACACATAATTAAGTAAAAATAGGTGCTGGAGAGATGGCTTAGCAGTTAAGAACATCGGCTGCTTTTCCAGAGGACCCAGGTTCAAACCCCAGCACCCGCATGTCAGATCACATATATCTGTAACTCCAGTTCCAGTGGATCCAACACCCACTTCTGGCTTCTGTGGGCACTACACACAGAGACTACACATACCTACAGACAAACACTCACACACATAAAGTATTTTTTAAATAATAAAAATAAATACTTAAGATATATATTAAAATAATATGAATAGTGAGTATATATCAAATATAGAATGAAATTACTTAGGATAAAAAAATCTCATGGTGTCAAAGGACTGTAATTCCTCCAGAGGCTGAGGCAGGAGGTTTGGGAGCTCCAGGCCAGCCTCAGCTACATAGAAAGGTCTTGTATCAAAAACCCAAGGGCCAGGCACGGTGGTGCATACTTTTAATTCCAGTGTTTAGGAAGCAGAGGTAGTTGGATTTTGAGAGCTTGAGGCCAGCCTCGTGGACCACTACATAAGAAGTTCAGGGACAGCCAGGTCTACAAAGAGAGACCTTGTCTCAAAATAAATAATAATAATAATAGTAATAATAATACCACCACCATGTGGGGGGCAAGAGCTGAGCTGTTGGTGGTACTCTGTGGACATGCAGCCCATCAGTCGCGTGGAAGTCAGAGAATGGCCAGCAGGACTCTGCTCTTTCCTTAGACTGCGAGGATCCTGGGAGCTGAACTCAGGTCTTCAGGCTTGGCTGCAGTGCCTTTGGCTAGAACTTTTGTTAATTCCCAGTCCTTTGCAGTTATAGTCAATAAAGTTATTGGCAGGCTGTGAGTTTGAGGTCAGCCTGGTCTATAGAGTGAATTCCAGGACAGCCAGGGCTACTAAAAAAAACTTGTCTCAAACAAACAAACAAACAAGAACGGGGTTATGGCTCAGCGGTAGAGCCCCTGCCTAACATGCACGAGCTCCTGAGTTCCATCCTAAAAACTAAAAGACAAACACTTTGGCTCTTCTCCTGGGTGTCTGTTCAGACTCAGAGCTGATGAACACTCAATTGCATCAGCTGTTCTGATTATCTCAGAAGCTCTTTTCTTTATTTCATATCCAATAAAACCCCATGGGAAGGAGGCTGCAGAGGCTATAGTTCCCAGCAGAAGAACTCAGACAGCCTCAGAGAAGCCAGGATTGGCTTGAGGTCACATAGCCCCATGTTGGCACTGTCTTTGAGGTCTCTGAGCTAAGGCAAGTTGGGGGTAGGAACCCGGTGTGGGTAGCAGGTGTAGGTAAGAGACTCACCTCTGATACCTCAATGCGCTGGTGGAGTTTTGCCTGGTACAGCTCGGTCAGATCTGGGTTGTGGTTCTTTCCATCAGGGTAGAGGAGGCTGAGAGAAGAACAGAGTTGGGCTCTGAGTGGCTGGACTCACAAGGATCTGCCTACCTCATTTATCCAGGGTGTGTGTGTGTGTGTGTGTGTGTGTGTGTGTATGTGTGTGTGTGTGTGTGTGTGTGTGTGTGTTAGGACCTGCCACAAGCCCACACTGGGACTCCCCAGAGCAAGTATGCTCTCCAGTCCCTGGGACAGAGCTGTCCACTTGATCATCTCAAGGAAGTCACATTGAACCTTGGTCTCTAGCCTGAGAACCAAGAAAGGAATCCAAACATCTCCCGGTCCAGGATCCCATGGCTCTTCAAAGCCAGTGCTGGAAGGTTGTTATTGTGATTATTACTGCATTTCACAGTGTGAAACCTAACCTGGAGGATGTTATGCAAGTGCTCTACCACTGAGCCACGCCCCTTAGCCCCTCACTGGGGGATTCTAGGCAGGGGCTCTACCACTGAGCCACCCCCACCCCCTCACTGGGGGATTCTAGGCAGGGGCTCTACCACTGATCCAGCTCCAGCCCCTCACTGGGGGATTCTAGGCAGGGGCTCTACTGCTGAGTCACGCCCACAGCATGACCTATACCTTTTTCTTTTTCTTGCTGAAAGTAGGTCTCACTATGTAGCTTAGAATGCAGATCTCAGGATCCTCTTGTGCCTTTAATATTTTCACACACACACACACACACACACACACACACACTCCATCCCTGCTCATGCTCAATACACTTTCAAAACAAAGAACAAAAGCCAAAGGGGGAAAAAAAACCTAATAAAATAAATAATGTAATAAAAGCAAGGGGACCAGTCATGAAATGGAGGTGAAGAGAACCTGCCTCTTCCCCAGAGGAGCAACTCTGTGATGATTCAAGGCCTTTGCCATCTTATAGAATAGTACCCCAGGGAACAATGAGAAACAACATGTCTGCTGTCTGTCTGTCTGTCTGTCTGTCTGTCTGTCTGTCTGTCTGTCTCTCTCTCTCTCTCTCTCTCTCTCTCACACACACACACACACACACATACACACACACATCTCCGTCTCTATATCACTCTAACCATGCAGTTCCCTGGTAGCTCCTTGCCTAGCTGGGTCACTGGTCCCCGGCAGCGCAAACCAGATAAGATCTGGGTGAGGGAGAACAGGGGAGAGCAGCCTGCCCCTCCCCTCCTCACCCTACAGCGGGCAACTTCCCGGAGGAAACTGGAAACTGGAAAAAGCTGAGGTTACAGGTGGAAAACCACCAGTCTAGCTGTTTCCCTGACTCCTGCCCCGCCAATCTAGATCCTAGAGCAGGGTATAGCCTCCAGAAACACAGACTCTGGAGCCCAGACCAAGTAACCTGCTGTGTGGAAGCAGACATTCTGCTGCCTCGAGAGCCTGCCCGCCCCCTGCTGGGCGCCTGTGGCGTTGCAGTTTGGTGTGTCTGCCCACCCTGCACCATCCCGCCATGGTTTGTGCATAATCTGGATTTTGCTGACACCTCTTTCCTTTCGGGTTGGACACTCACATGCCGTCCTTTTGTCCTTTCAGGAGCACCTGGAACAGGGGTTTGTTGGGAGGAATGGTCTGTAGGATGCTTCCCTCGGGACTCACGTACCCAATAGCCCACTGCCCCAGGCGAGTACAGCTGGGCCTGAAGATGTAGCTGTGGGGAGATAGTGGGATGGAGCAAGAGAGTGGCCGCTGCTGCCCATGATGGAAACACCCATCTGTCTGCCGCACCCGGGATCCAGGTATCTTCCCGTCCTTTGTGGTAGCTAGCAGTGCTTTGCTCCCCACCCTAATTATAAACTGGAAGGGTGTATGGCTATAGCTTCAGACATTGCCCACTGTAGGGACAGGTCACGACTGAGAATCAGGCTAATACAGGAAAAAAACAAGGCAAAGCACACCCAGACACTGATACAAGCTTGAAAGCTTGTATCCATCCGTGCTGGAATCCCATACTCCGGTTCTTTCTTTCAATTTTATAATTTCCCTCCCTGCCCTATACAGCAGGGTCAAGGCTAGCCTGGCCTAACAGAAACCTTGTCTAGGAACCCATCTGGACAAGGATGTTACCACTGATCAGAATGCCTGGTATGATGCAGAGACAGAGGGACTGACAGAGTTGGACAGAGAGGACAGACTGAGGAAGACCCTCCCCTCTCTCTTCCTTCCTCTTCCGCCCGCAGCTCGTAGTGAATGGGGAGCTCTGGGAAGCAGCTGCTCTCTACCCTGATCTTCCAGAGCCCCGCAGAGGTATCTTCCCTCAACCTCCGTGCTCCTCCGTGCGCTCAGCTCCTCATCCTTAGCTCCCTAAGGAGCCCCTGACCGGAAAGGAAGTAAGGTCTCTCCAATGTCAGTTTTCCCCGTCTCTTACGCTCACCCACGAGGGCTCACGTTCGAAATATTTCAGAGGCCGGACAAGTTGAGCATGCTGCCCACCTATAATCCCAGTATTCAGGAAGCCAAAGCAAGAGGTTCCCAAGTTCAAGCCCAGCCTGGGCGACAGGGAGACCTTGTCTCAAAAGAAAACAAATAAATCCCAGCTGAGTGTGAGGGTGACATCTGTAACCCCAGCATTTGGGAGGTAAAGGAAGGATGATCAGGATTTCAAGGGTCGTCTGTAGCTACACGGCAAGTTTGAGGCCAGTCTGGGCTACAGGAAGCAAGCCCTATCGCTGCGGAACAATCTTTTTGTACACTACGAATGTGTATTACTCTCTCGCCTAATAAAGAGTTGACTGGCCTATAGCAGGGCAGGTTGAGACTAGGCGGGAAAATCAGATGAAAAGAGACACAGAGGGAACAGGTGATGAACACGCCATGCTAATGAGGGTACTGCCACAGGGCAGGGGGCAGATAAGATATATTAGTTAATTTAAAATGTAAGAATATAATCCTGGCCTATTGGCTGAGTTAAGACTCTGAGTAGTTATTTGGGAAACAGGCAGTAAGGACAGTAAAAACTCTGTCTACACCCTAGCTCCAAACAAATCCAAACAAAGAGGCTCACCACATAGCCTCTGACTTGTCAGAGATGGGCCTTATCTCGATTAGGGCCTTCAGGACTCCTTGCTGGACCAGGTATTGTTGCTTTAGTTGCTGAGCCATGGAATGACCCAGGGGGCCCCAGGAAAAGAGACTGGGCATCAGAACTTAGGGGTTTTGTTTGTTTGTTTTTTGTTGCTTTGTTTGAGATAGAGTTTCTCTGTGTAGCCCTGGCTGTCCTAGAACTCACTCTGTAGACCAGGCGGGCCTTGAACCTTGAACTCCCACCTGCCTCTTCCTCCTGAGTGCTGAAATTACAAGAGAACATCACAGGCCTCCAGCTGCAGAGTTCCTGACCTCTGGGTTCCCAGAAACCTCGATTCTTGGTCTCTCAGAACCTCAAGGATTCTTCTGCCTGCGAGCCAGGACTGGACCCCTGAACTGCCCAGCCCTGGCCCACGGAGCCGGCTTTGCTCACCTGCCTGGTTTGTCCCTGCAGGCCTGCAGGCGCGTCTGGACTTCATCATAGGTCAAGAAGGCCATGTAGCCGGGGTGGTTGACAGCCAGGAGCAGCCAGTTCTTGAGTAGGGTCGGCCACGGCTGGGAGGGACAGAGAGGGTCACTAAGGGACATATGAAGTAAACTATGATCGAAGATCTTCAGGTTCAAGACTCCGTGACCATGCTCACACCCACGGTGGCCCTGCACATTATACACACAGGAAACCATGCACCCTCTCTCCCCAGGACTCAGCGGTCCAAACAGCCCTCCTCCTTCAGATCCAGGCCCCATCTCCTCCCTCGGACCCAAAGTTCTAGGTCCACTTTTGACCTTCTCTGACCTGGAAGAGCCTGGTGAAGATGTCAAACTCAAAGACAGACACGTGGCCACTACAGGTGAGGTCCAAGGTGGAACGCAAGGCCTGGGTGATGGGGCCTGGTTCCACAGGGTGGCAAGCACACAGCAGGGACTGGAACTCCGCCCAGGGAAGCACACACCTGGATGGGAAGGGGTGGGGTTGCGGAAGCTCATGTAGGGAGGGTCTATAACAGGAGGCTACTGGTCCCCCCATCACACACACCACACACACACCATACATACCACACACACCACACACACACCACACACGCACACACATATACAAATATACACACCACACACATGACACACACGCAACACACACGCATACACACGCACATACACATACACACACACCACACACACACCACACACACAAACACACACCACACACAACACACACACATCACACAACACACACACACACACCATACACACACACTTCGGGGCATTGGGGAGAGTAGTTAAGGGACTTGCAGCCCACCATCCCCTGGTCTTGAAGGTTCACTCACCGGATTCCACAGTGCTCCCTCCAGAAGGTGTGGGCAGAGCCCTCAGTGAGCTGGTACAGGTGTCCGCAGTACCTCCCCCCAGGGAAGAGTGCACTCATCTCCGCGTGCATGTGACTGAAGATGAGGGCCAGCTTGGCCAGCTGTCGCCTGCAGGAAAAGGTTATGAGCATCACGCTGGACACAGGGAGAGTCGCTACAGGAGCAAGGCCCTCCGATTCCTTCTAATAAGTCAGTGCACCAAAGGAGCCGGTCCCTGTCCTGAGGACTCTCCTCTCTGAGCCTCAATTTCCTCATCTGTGAAGGAAAAGTGGAAGCTAATATCCAAAATAGCCTCGAACCACCAAAGGAGTCCCTGGACCTGGAACTATCACTTAGCAGAACAACAGCACTTGCCTAGAATCCCCCAGTGAGGGGCTGGGGTGTGGCTCAGTGGTAGAGCCCCTGCCTAGAATCCCCCAGTGATCTGTGCGGTCATGACTCAGTGGTACTGCCTCTTCTTACAATGCTCAGGTTCCTAGCTTCCATCCCCAGCATCTCAAAATCAAACAAAACCTGCACATCATATTGGGTCAACACTCAGTGCATGCTGATTTTATTATATTTCTCATTTATATTAATAACTTCCTTGGGCAGGTCTGCAGGGCTTCTGGCAGTTTCTTAGCAACCTAGCTTCCCAGAACGCAGAGCTGTGTAGCCCAGTGAGGTTGCCGCCCACAGCTCTGCTGGTTCAGACGGGAAGGTACACTTCTCTTTTCTTCCATTCTCCTGTTTTTTGTTTTTTTGGAGACAGGGTCTCATTATGTAGTCTCAGCTGGCCTAGAACTCACTATATAGACCAGGCTGGCCTTGAACTCACAGTGATTCACCTGCCTCTGCCTCCTGAGTACGGGGGTCAAAAGTCTCTGCTACCACAATCAGTCCAGAGTAAGGGACTGATTCTTTTTTCTTTTTTAAATTTATTTATTTATTAAAGATTTCTGCCTCCTCCCCGCCACTGCCTCCCATTTCCCTCCCCCTCCCTCGATCAAGTCCTCTTTTTTCTTTTTTTAAAGACTTGTTTTTATTTGTGTGTGTGTGTGCATGTGTGTGTGTGTGTGTGTATAGGTATGTGCACATGAGTGTGGATTTCTGAGGAGGCCAGAAGGTGTCAGATCCCTTGGAGCTGGAGTTACAGGTGATTGTGAGCCATCCATCCTGGGTGCTGTAAACCTAGGTCCTCTGCTGGGGGAATAAGCCCTCTTACCCCCTCCGTTAGTGGTTCTCAACCTTCCTATGCTGTGACCCTTTAATACAGCTCCTCAGGTTGTGGTGACCCACAACCATAAAATTATTTTCATTGATAATTCATAACTGTAATTTTGCTACAGTTATGAATCAGAATGTAAACATCTGTGTTTTAGGATGGTTCTAGCAATCGTGTAAAAAGACCAATCGACCCCAGGCTGGCAACCCACAGGTGGCGTTTACACCAGCCTGCAACAAGGTAGGCCAAAAGAAAGCAACAATTGTAACAATTTTGTTAAGCACACTGGTCCAGCTGTCTTCTGACCTGGGACCGGGACACACACACACAGAGTGAGAAATAAATTGATGAAATAAAAAAAAATGCATTTTCCATGTAGTGTATATAAATATATTTGGAGTAGTATTTCTTTCATGGGTTATAATTGGGGATAATGAGAATTTAAACAATATGGGCAGGCAGGAGATTGATTTCATTTCCTCATGAATTGAGGCGATTCTATAAGCCAGGGAAGCCATTGCTAGGGCGTGGGAGCCAAGCCAAACACTGATTTAGACCTTGCTCTGGGATCCGGGCTCCAGTCCTCCCGTGCACCTGTTCCTCAGAGAGAGAGCTGGCAAGTCCAAGGTCCTTAGCCTAGGCTTCAGGAACCGAAGTCTATGGCACTCATGCAGGTCCGGGAATGACCCAGTGTTGTTCAGACACCAGAGGTGAGCACGCTCACCCCCTCAACAGGAAGTCTCTGGGATCCCTACATTCATAAGGCGCTGTGTATCTAAGGCCCTCAGGAGAGACTCACGTCTGGATCCCAGCTGCAAGGTGATCCACAAAAGGAAGAAAGGGGGATTGGCGGCATGAGTGCTTAAGGGAAGAAAAAATGGGGTGGCTTAGTTTTCCTGGGTCTGAGGGAGGAGGGGTCTGGACCCCTGTGTCTGAGGGAGGAGGGCTGGGCCTGGGCCCCTGGGACTGAGGGAGGAGGTGGCTGGAGGCATGATCCGGAAATCATTAGTTCATGCCTTGTTTCTGAGGCAGGTCAGTGCTCACCTGAATCTGGAGCCCTCCCGGAAAACCTCCTCGTTCGCATCCTTTTTGCCTCGGGGTGGCAGCAGCTCGGCCACTTTCCTGCCTTTGGCCTCCAGATTGGCCAGGTAGATGACCAGATAATCCCCAGCGCCACCGGGACCCTCGGGGTCTCCCTCAGCCTCGCGCCGGGCTTTTGCCACTTCTCGAAGTAGTTGAGCGGTGCGGGGCAGAAGGACCCGCAGCGACGGGGGCCCCATAACCAGTCTGGGGTCCTTGCATTGCTCTTCCAAGCGCTGTAGCAGCTTCACTGCCCGGCCGAACGCTCGTGGCTCTCCCCACTGCCATCCTCGCGGGGATGCCATCGCAGCCGTGGGTCTCTCGGATAGCCTGAGATGGAGGGGTGAGGCGAGGAAAGGCTCCAGGTAGGGGCGGAACCAGGAGGGAGCAGAGGGCGGGTTCTGTAGAAAGGAAGGGGACTGCAGGTGGCAGCTGCCCTAAAGGGGCCCGACTGCAGAGTCTGAGGGAGGAGGGCTGGGGACTGGACCCCCTGGGTCTAGGGGAGGTTGGCTGGGGTCTGGACCCCTGAGTCTAAGGGAGGAGGGCTGGGGCTTGGGCTCCTTAGTGTGTGGAAAGAGGTGGCAAACAGAGGAGGAGGGTGTTAGAAGCTTGGTTCTCCACACCCCACAGGGAGGGGCTCTGGGACACAACACCCCTTCCTGAATCATTTCAGGAAGGTTTCAGTCTTTGCTCGTTGCGTGGGATCAAAGTTCAGGCAGTGGAATCTCCTAAGAACAGAAAGTCGCTTACCTACTCTGTGTCCCAGAGGGAAGGTAACTAGAACGCCCAGAGCTCTGGGTCCCATGGCAAGTAAGGGGAATTAGGTTGCAGTTTAAGTACTCAGATTTTCAAGAGGTAAAAGAGGTGTGGGGGAAAGTAAAGTTCAGGAATGCACAGGGCTGCAGGGGAGTGGCTACAGGCAGGTTTGCACTCCAACCTGTCAGACCTGTAGGGTCCGCGCCGACTGTGCTTCAGGTAGCCGCCAGGGGGCGCCGTGGACATGGTCCTCGCTGTCCAATGGCACCCAGGGCACCCAGGGCACCCAGGACACCCAGGGCAGCCATCTAGGCAGGCTGGGTGCTGATTCTCTCCAGCCTGCATTCTCCCTTCTCCCTCTCCCTCCTCCTCCTCCTTTTTCTTCTTCTTCCTCTTCCTCTCCTCCCCCTTCCTCCTGTCTCCTCTTCCCCCTGTCTCTCTCTCTCTCTTCTTTGCTCCCCCTCCTTCTAATTAGGCTCTTCCTAAATAGCTCGAGCTGTTTTTTTCTCTCTCTCTCTCTTTCTCTCTCTCTAGCTGTTTTTT